GATCCGGAAACCTGGACCGGACGCCGGACACCGGTCAGTCCGTGTCTCTTATACACATCTAGATGTGTATAAGAGACAGCTCTCTCTCTCTCTCTCTCTCTCTCTCTCTGTGTGTGTGTGTGTGTGTGTCTCGCGAGCGAAGCGAACGTCGATCGTCAGCGAGCGAAGCGCCGAGGGGGCCAAACCGAATGAGCGGGCCGCCAACCCGACGGCCGAAGCAAATGAGCAGCCCCATAGAGTTCTCGGGAATCCGGCCGTCAGATTCCCGAAAGTTCTATCAGGCCGGACGACTGGCCTGCCCCAAACGACTGGGAGGATCCCTGTTGGGCCCGCGGCTAACTGTCTAGCGACGTTTCCCAACACTGGATGCGGTTTCTCGCGGGAGCATTAAGCGAGGCCCGCTATTCACTTAAAGAGTGTTAAGGATAACAATGAGTGGATGAACCAGAATCAATGTCCGAAGTTCCCTCTTTACTGCTGACATCACCATAGGTCCACCATAGCTATGGCTTCCCCCCTTCTTCCACTTCTCTCAAGCCTAGGCTATGGCGGACAACTGAGGGCTCTGCCCTCGTGTGCAAAGGACAACACAAAGCAACTATGTTGCTGCACTCCTGTCCAAAGGACAACCCAAGGCAGCTATGCCGCTGCTGACTAAGCCGCCATGCCTGACTCTGCCGCGAGCTTCCTTCGTGCGGCACTACCCCAACTGGGGCCTTCCAGATGCAGCGTCCAACAATGGTGTCCACCATACCCAGGTAGGTGCCTCGCCACTCTCTTCCTTCGCCCCCTTCTCCCCCTTCTTCCTCCTCCTCAAACTGGGCTGCTCGCCATAGCCAGGCTGAGCGCCCAGCTGCTCTTCACCTCCAGCCAGCGCTGCACAAGTCCAGCGCTTGGCTCAGCAGCATGTCGCCAATCCTTGCATACAGCAAATGAAGAGGAGCTAGTTGCTCCTCCAGAAGATATAGCGGCCTACTGGTCTCCTGGGCGGTGACTTCCGAGGCCGAGCGGCCTCCCAGCAACCGGTACCTCCTCCCTTTCGGAGGGAAACATCATTGCAGGCTCTGCTATCGTCCGGACAGGCCCTAGACTCAGGCTACTTGGACTGTTACCGGCCTACCTCTATCCTACCGCTACTGGGCCTCTAAAAATGCCAACTTTTTGTCTTCTTCTGCTCGGCCTCCAGTACCCAACACTTCTACCACTACTTGAGTGGTACCGGCCTACGTGCTACTTGAGTGTTTTTCCCCCCTGCTCTAAGTGTTGCGGGCCTACCCCCGCTGCAACCCTCAAAGTCACGTCCACAGGTAAGTACCAGCCCTGCAGGGCCTTTCAAGTTTCAACCAACAAGTACCCTTGCGGGTCACACACACACTCAGCCGACAAGCACTCAGACAGGCACACAAACCAGCAGGCACGCACACACACACAGACTCGGAAACCACAGCAGAATGCGGGAATCTCAGCAAGGCATTCATTCCAGCGGCAAATCCCAGAAATCAGCAGTGTTCTCAGTCTGTGTTTTGGCGGGTCATTACATTCCACCTCGACTTAAATGCCACATCAGCGAGTTCTCATCATCCAGCGTACACCAGAGTGTCACCACATAGCCTTCCTGGAGTGCCCACTCAACAGTGGGACGCCCAAGCATTATCACTGCCCCACCTTCACCAGCGAAGCACCAAACAGCTATTGAGAAGAACAAGCAAGAGTAGTTCTAACCAGCTCCGATACCAAATTGCAAGGAAAATGAGCAATAGCGAAATGACAGATTTCAGATTGCAAAATCACATTGAAAGCCAGGAAGTCTGATACTGTCCAGAAAGCAAAATTGCACGAATATTACACCATTGGAGAACCAAAACACTGAATCCGAGTGTCAATGAGAGCATACTCTCGCCATCACCAACATAAGTATCCAGAACCATTCTCCTACTTGGCGCACATTGCCCAGACTACTATCACGCAGCTACTACCAGCCTACGAATTGACAATGCAACTGCTGACGTCAGCAGCAGAACCGAAGTACTTGAAGATTTCGACCCTTGGAGACTATCACCAAGACCAGGTATGAGCCCTCACATCCTCCTCCTCATCTCTCTCTCGCTCTCCCTCGTCTTTTCTACCCACGTCTTCTCCCTCATGCACGAAGACGACCGCTACCCCTTGCTGTAAGCCAAACCCAGCCAGCTATGGAAGCTGGGTTATGGCAGCACCCTGCCTTACATGACTGCGCGTGCGTGAACCCCTTGCCCAGCGCAAGCAGCAGCCCCCTAGAACACACTCAAGTGGCTCTGCCGCAAATTTGCAAGTGCCCGAATGCCTGTCCTCGCGCTCGGCCCTTTCTTATATGGAAAGTGGCGGGCGCTTTGCTTTGCCCCCGATCTGTGAGACCGATTTTCCCTGTAGCTTCAGTCTCAGCCAAAGTGTATGTGCCTGGGCCCGTTCAGACAGTGGCCTGGGATGAAATTGGTTAGGCATGCCCAACCACCCAGATGCAAGCGGGTGATACTCTCTGCTTCGACCACGTTGTTTGAAGAGCCTGGAAGGCTCAGGAATATTGTGGATTCTCACTAGCAGGGCGGATGTAACCAACTGGCGCGTGGCAACTGTCTGGCACCGACCAAGATTTGCAAAAATTGACAAGTTCAGAGGCCCGCCTTCACTTAGGGCGGGCTTGTGCCTGATGCAAGGCCTTATGCGGTTACGCCGAGGGATCAAACCATAGCTACGCCGGACCGGACTCCGGACCGAATCCGGACCCCGGACCCCGGACCCCGGACTTCCCGGCGACATCCGGACTTCCGGAAACCCGGAATATTCCGGAATATCCGGACCGTTCCGGAACCCCTGTCCAGATGCCTGTCCGGAACCCTGTGGGGGGAATGCTGATCTCAGGTCTGCATCTCAACAGTTCATGGGTGTGCAACAGAAGGCTGAATTATGCCGTTGGGCCGCACTGGCTATATCACCGGCCCCAGGTAATTCAGAATTATTTCATTCTGGTCATCTGATTGTATCTGGATTCGAACTTGGGTCTGTATTGCAACAGGTCGTGGGTGTGCAAAGTGGGCTAGGGCCGTTGGAATGCCGTTGGCTTTTTGCCAACGGTCACGTGAAAAAGCCAACGTGTGAAAAATAGGCAAAAAAAAGAACTTAGAGAACCCGCCAAGTGGCGGGCAGAGGGAAACGTGGTACAGAAAGTCCCTCCCCCTCCTGTTGCAGGGGCCTCTTCTGATGGCCGTTTTTTTCTTTCTTAAAATGGCATATTCGGTTTTGTTTTTCTTTCTTTTTTTCTTGTTTGTCTTTTGCTGGAATGTACAAAGCATGCAATCCTGGGAAGGTGCGCACGCGTTGGAAGGGCAAGCCATGCCAATCTGCCAAAAACAAGGAAAAAAAACAACAGAAAAACGAAAAAAAATTGGTCTGTTGGAGAGCGGCCATACAGATCGGCTCCACTACTCAACATATGCACAAAAGACAGAAAATGTGGTGGTGTATCTTTCCATGTTGTAGCAGAAGATTCATTTTCATTTTGCACTTGGTGAGTAGTGCAGCCAGGGCCAAAGCCCCAGAGTCGTTGCAGGCGCCCGTTCGGACACGTGCTGTTTTTGAAAGTAGGATCTTTTTTCGTTTTGGGGCGCAACGTGGGGGGACCCCATTTTCCCACCATCCGGACCAGGATCCGGAAACCTGGACCGGACGCCGGACACCGGTCAGTCCGGATCCCTGTCCGGCTGTCCGGATCGTAGCTATGGATCAAACCATGGCTACGATCCGGACGTCCGGACCGCCGTCCAGACGGTCCGGATTTGGTCCGGAACCCGGACGTCCGGATTTGGTCCGGAACCCGGACGTCCGGTCCAGACGGTCCGGATCTGCCAAATTTCGAGGAAAAAAAAAAAAAAAAAAAACGGTCCAGGACCCTTCCCCATTGAGGAGCCAAAATTGTTTTGAGGGTTTTTCAGGCCCGTTTATGCTTTTTTGGGGGGTCCGGACATGCTCTCTCTCTATAATAATTTATTAGACAACCCCAAGTTTTTTATTATGAATAATTCATTACCTTTTATTAGTTTTTTTAACTTTTTTAAGTCTTTTTTTAAGCTTTTTATAGTTTTTGACTTTTAACTCAAGTTTGGTTAGGAACTCTGACATGACTCTGAGGCAAAAGTGCATAACATACTTTTTTTTCAGGGTTTTTTTTTTTTTTTTTTAATGGTCCGGACATTTTCCGGACCTGTCCAGACATCCGGACCGCCTGGATCCCCCCATGTCCAGAGGTCCGGAAATGTCCGGAATTCCGGACGTCCGGAAACTACCGGACACGGGTCCGGTTCCATGTCTGGAAATGTCCGGGTCCGGGTCCGGCGTAGCCATGGATCAAACCCTTGCATTAACAAGGAATTTCGAGGTGGCCCTCAGCCAAAAGTCGTTTGTATTGTAATTTTACACGACATATTTTTTTCCCGGATTTTTTTGATTTTTTTTAAATTTTCTATTGCTAAACATATTATGTGCTGGGATCGCCTGGGACCCTCCCCCGGCCGTCTGGAAGGGTACCAGGGCCACCTTCCGCCAGCCAGGTCACCCGGGGACTAACACACACGCAAACCAGTTTTGGCTGAGGGTGGCCTCAGATGTCCTCATTGCATGGAAGATATGAACAAGTCTAACTAAGACACCTCCCTTCAGACCATTTATACCACTCTTACCCCCCTACCACCCGAACCTGCAACAACACTGAAAAACAAAGAAGAGCGCGGATTTGGACTGCCCTTCAGAAACAATTCCCAGCCTCTTCAGGCATGACGCCTGGCCACATGGCTTGCCGGTCGAGCCTTTGTGCAGGTATATATTTAATGTCAAGGAACCTTGCATTTCTGAATGCGGGCCCAAAGTTGGTTAAGTTCATAATTTTGGCCCATCATAATATTGTTATCTTGAGTGGTATATTCATGTGCTCCTTTTTGCTTTCATCTGATTTGAGTGGAGTGATATAGGTACCAGGTCGATACCGTCCTCGCTCGTCTGGAGACAGCGATGCAGGATCTGCTGATGAACCAGCTACATCGGTCAATGCGGCAGTGGCTGTACTCCGGAGCCTGACACGTTTCCCAGTATGTTCAGTAGTCTGCCTTCCTCATTTTTTCTGTTTAAATGAATGCGCTTCACAACCATGTATTGATTGTTTCAGTCGGTGTTAGCCTGGCGTGCCGTTTTTGATGTTTGAGCATGTCCTTTGCCACATTTTATTAGATCATGAAGGCTTTGAATGTGTCGAGAATTCATAAGGATGTCTTTACCATACTTGCAGCGCATATGCAAGGAGAATGAGCGATAGCAACATAACAGAACTTCAGATTGCAAATCACATCAAACGCCAGATAGTCTAATTCTGTCCAGAAAGCAGAATTGTAAGATACAGCACCGAAGGAGAACCAAAGTATCTACTCGCCACCACCAACAATGCACTTGTAGCTCTTTCTCCTCCTGGCTACTATCCTACAGCTACACAACTTGCAGTGAAATGACAAGCAACTATTTGACGTCAGCAGCAGCAACCGAAGTACATGCTGATGTCGACCCTGTAGACCATCGCCAAGACCAGGTATGTGCCCTCACATAACTGTCCTCATCTCTCTCCCTATCTCGCTCACCCTCAACTTCTACACCCACGTCTTTCCCAAACACGAAGATCACCACCACCTCCGCTGACCTTCTCCAAGCTGGCCTGGCTATGGGGGCCAAGTTATGGTGCTGCCACTTTGCAGCACCTTTCTACCAAGCGGCCGCACTCTTGCATCTGCACCGGCGCTAGCAGCAACACGCGAGCATTCGCTCCAGCAGAGCTGCCGCCCGCTACCAAGTGCCCGAATGCCGCCCCCTGCTCCTGGCACTTCCTATATCAAAAGTGTGGGCACAATGCCTGCTCTCTGCCGCCGGGACCAAGTTTCCAGTAGCTTCACTGTCAGCCAAAGTGTCTGCGCCCAGGCCCGTTCAGACAGTGGGCTGGGACCGAATTGGTTAGGCATGCCCAGGCACAAACGTGCGGTGTACGCCACTTTCACCACATTGCTGGAAGAGTCTGGAAGGCTTGTGAATATTTTGGATTGTCATGAGCAAGGCGGATGTAACCAACTGCTGCGTGGCAACTGTCTGGCGCCCAACAAGATTTGCAAAAATTGACGCCCAGGCCCGTTCAGACAGTGGGCTGGGACCGAATTGGTTAGGCATGCCCAGGCACAAACGTGCGGTGTACGCCACTTTCACCTCGTTGCTGGAAGAGCCTGGAAGGCTTGCGAATATTTTGGATTGTCACGAGCAAGGCGGATGTAACCAACTGCTGCGTGGCAACTGTCTGGCGCCCAACAAGATTTGCAAACATTGACGAGAGATTCAGGGGCCCGCCTTCACTTAGGGCGGGCACGGGTTTGCTGCAAGGGCCCTATGCAGGTATGCCAAGGGGTAAAATCCTTGCACTCCCTCCTTTACTTCGATAGTTCTTTGAGCAGTCTTCAGTCAGCAAGCTGCTTCCTTTTTAACATTCTCTTGTACCCTGAGATAACCTGTGGAGCAAAGTCTTCATTAGTTCTTCTCTCGTGAACCATCGGTCTTCTTTAGGATCTCGATGCTGCCTGAACCGCACTCTGTACTGCATCTGCGGTTTTTGAAGGATGACCCTTGCCTGGAGGTTTGGGCACAGGCATTAGCCTGTGTTCAATGGTGTCGTCGATGTCCACGTATCCATCCATGGTTGGGGGCAGCATAGATCTTGAAGGACACCTGTCAGTCTCAGAAAAAGGAGCCAGTTTGGAGGCATGGAAAACAGGGTGTGTGCGTAGGTGTCTAGGAATTCGGATGATATAAGTTTGGCCCATCTGGTGCATTCCAAACAATGTCTAGAACCTCCGATGGACCGAAGTATTGTGGCATCAGTCTCTGATGACCCAGACACATTCACCTACCTGGAATGCAGATGGCCGTCTGTGCCTATTCTCAGATGCAATCATAGCATCCTGAGTTTTCTTTATGTGCTCGACAGTCTGCTGTGGCAGTGCTGCAGCAGCTGTCGTACTTGACAGCAAACTTATGCTGCCTGGGACTGCTGCGGGCTGGTTCTCAGGCAACAGTAAATCAAGAGCAGACCTGGGCTTCCAACCAAGATGCAGCTGGTTGGGAGTCATGCCGGTAGTGCTGTGCACAGCGTTATTGTACAGGCTGGCGATGAGAGGTAACATCTCATCCCAGTCATCTTGGCTCGGCTTGGGAGTCATGCCGGTAGTGCTGTGCACAGCGTTATTGTACAGGCTGGCGATGAGAGGTAACATCTCATCCCAGTCATCTTGGCTTGGCTTTTAGTGCCGGAGCAAGTGTTGTACTACACGGTGATGCCCATTTACTGGGCTGTGCTCTGCCACAGTTCACTGGTAAACCCAGGGTAGTCACGCCGACGGTCGGTGGCCCCGGACCCGTCGGCTGCCGACAGTAGGCGCCGTCGACGCCGACCGGTCGGCCACCGGTAGGCACCCGCCAATTTTTTATTTTTTTTGGGGTCCAGAACCCGAAATAGCCCCATCCGCACCCCCATAGACCCCCCATACATCCCCATGTACCCCCCCAACCCCCCCCCTATACCTCCCCCTAACACCTTCATACCCCCCCCGTTTACCCCCTTCACCCTCTATAACCCCCTTGTACCTCCCCTTATAACCCCCACCACCCCCCAAAAAAACTATTGCGGATTTGGGCTGCTCTCCTCAAGCAGCGCATGACCATGTCATTGGGAAAAAAAAATAAAAAAATTTGGGCAGTCTGCCGACCGCCGATGGGTCAGTCTACGTGTCGGTAGGCGCGCCTACCGCCTATGGTAGGGGTAGGCGGTAGGCGCCAAAACAACCCTGGGTAATCCTGACATCCCTGTTGCTGACAATGGACTTCGGAAGAACCAAATTCACGCACCCAGTTATCCATAAACAACTTGATGACGTGGTCAGTCTTAGCGGTCTCTGGCATAGTGATCAGTCTAAGCGTATTTGCTAAATGTGTCCACAATGACGAAGATGTGATGTCCACCAGGGTATCCATGAAGTCCATGGACACACTCTGACCAGGGCCTGCGGAGACGGGCAAGGGCTTGATAAGCCCCAGGGTGCATGCATCTGTGGCTTGCCCCATTGACAAACGTGACAAGTCTCTACATATTTCTCTGCATCATCCATCATTGTGCGCCATCAAATTTCTGTACTAAGTTTGCAGCTGTTTATAGCCAAAATGTCCAGTTGCATCATGACACTCTCCTAAAAATAAACTACGCAAAGACTCTATACATGGAATACACAAACGTTTATTCCCGGCCTTCTCAAGGAACGAGTCATCAACCAGCATGAACTCGTCTGATGTGGCCTTGTCTTTAGCCTCAAGCTTGCACTTGATCTCAGTCATGATTTGATGGGCTTCCACCAGGGATCGAGTTACATCATCAGAATACCAAACTCCGTCACTAGCGCACCTGGTCTTCATCGACCACTTTTACTCTCCCTTTAGGGGGTCGAGCTTCAATCCACCTCTTGAGTGCATCGGAGAGCACCGTTTGTCTTGTTCCAGCGCAAAGTCTCATCGTCTGACCTCACATAGAAGAATCTGCCTAGGTAATGGCTCCAATGAACCAGCGCTCTACAGGGGCATACAACTCTTGCTCGTACGTGGACTTGGCTAGTTTTTGAGATGACATCTTTTTGCTCATGTACTTGATCGGCCTCAACTTTTTCCCTTCCTCCTGCACGAGGACCACTCCTATGCCATATTGGCCGGCGTCTGTGGTCACAATGAAAGGCAGCTCGGGATCTGGAAGCTTGAGGACTTCATAGTGCATGAGGGCATACTTCAATCTTTTTAAGGTTGCCTCATCAGTCCACTCCCATGGGGTGTCAAGGCATGTGAGGTCAGTTAGTGGGGAAGCTACAGTGTTATAGTTTTTCATGAACGGTAGTAGTTCGTCATCCTAAGACTAGTGCACCATAAGGGGAGGAACTAAACCCTTCTCTGTGAGCTCCTTGAGCTGGCGGCGGAGCTCATGTAACTTCGCAGGAGACATCCCGTATATCCGTCCTCTAGGTACTTCACTACCCGTAACGACTTCTATCACATGGACAACCTCCCTTTCTACCACACCCCTAGGCTCCTCAAAAAGGTATGGATACTGAGCTACCACTTCTATCTCTGGGGATGTTTTAACGACCTCTCCTTTCTCAGAGATAAGACTAGGTACATACCCTCCTTGTGATTCCGCTTGTAATAGATGTAAAAGGAGTATGCAGACATGCAACCATAGTTCTCTACTGGCTGCTAGTAATGTAACGGTCCTTCCATTTGACTTGTGAAGCATCACCTTTCTATCCCAGTCGAACTGAGGCTTAGCAACCTCGAGGTAGTACATTCATAGTAATATATCGAAAGGCAGCTCATCACTCGCTAAAAACGAGATCTTTTGTCTCAGTTCCCCTCCTCCATAGAAGAAGGTACCTACCTCCTTGACATAGTTCCTTACTATCATGGAATGGTTGTTGCTACAAACTTGCTAAGTCGATGCACTCGGTCCCCTAAGTGCAGCCTATCCACACAAGCACGACCGATGAAGTTTTCCGTAGAACATATGTCTGCGAAGGATCCAATCTTTCGGCCACCTACATCAACTTCTACCACGAAATGTTCACCTCTAGGACCTTTTGTCATCATCGCCCAGAAGTCTCTAGGGTCTTTCTCTAACCACTCAGTTTCTAACTCCTCTAAAGACTTGGACACATCCATCGATTAGAGTATTATTGGTCCGGATCTGTCTGCGGGGCGATAAGGGGGTCAATAGCCTTAGCCATCGTCTGAAATGGAGAGGGTAAGGTTACCACTTCAGCACGCTGACCCAAATTGTTTCCTTGAGAAGTGCTCGCAGATGCACCACCAGAGTTGGAAGATCCGGCAACCACTATAGAGGATGCTACCATCCTGGTGACCCGCTTACTCTTACAGCGGCTCATTGTGCGCACATACTGGCCACAATTGAGACGCGCCTCGTGCAACACGGTCACACCCACCTCGTAACCCAAGTTTCACCC